AATAAGGTCCTGACCTGCTGGTGTTATTACACTAATATCTTTAAAGATGTAGAGAAGTTTTCAGCCATTGCCAGCCCCCCGAAATACAACACACAAACAAACCTGGGATATTCATGGCCACAGGACAGGTTTAAGCTCTAGAATCTAACTAGAGTTAGAAAAAAGAATTAGAAGAGTAATTACAACATCCGTAGTAGCTTAGAAACTGATCTGTGCCCAGACAGGTGACAATTTCTAGCCCTGATGGCCCAAGATTGCCACCAACTCCCACTACAGGCAGATTGTGCCAGAGCTGTTTACCAGGGGGACACCTATTACCTGCAGATGGAGGTAATAAGAGAGGAGAGGTGTCACCTACAATTAAAATGACTGTGTCTTAAGAAGTCACCACCTGCCATTTATCAGGTGGTGATAACTGACAGCAGGGATTTTCTGGCTTACCCCAGCTGGGAAACAAATCAGCAAGAAAACAGGAGTCTCTCTTAGATGCAGCACTAGTTCAGCATAAAAATTCCTGTATTCTTGGGGGAAGAAAAAAGTTAAAAATCTACTTTAACTTCAAAAGTAGAAACCTACACAAAAATAGAAAATCAGCTGCTCCACGTTCTCTAATGAATCATCAGCAGTCTGAAAGCATTAAAAATATGTCTTTTGATAACTAAAACAAGTTTCATGGACTCTAACTAGCAATTAGGGAAACAGAATGTTTCCCATTGTGTGTCTAAGTATTTTTTTTTCCTTTTCAATTCTCTCTTACCTTGTTAACTATTAGACACAGCAACGTGGAACAAAGTAAATCTCACTAAAAAAAATACTACCTTAATACAGTCACACTATGAGAAACTAATTCCCTCTGTATAACTAACCATTACAATGTTAAAGATACTGTGATTTCCTGAGGAACTGTGAATCAGAGTTCCTGGAAAGAAGGTGGTTCATAGCTTGTGTAACACCATATGAAATTTACTGCTCATAAAAATTAAGAATATTCACCCTATCAATTCAGCCCCTCATGCTATAATGTAATACAATTACTGGTGCAGAAACAAGCAGCAACAAAACTGCATTTTTACAAATCTCTTCTGAGTTTTACACAAAATAATAAATCATCACAGAAGCACACCTTATCTTTTTTTTTTTTTTTACTTCTGATACTACTATTGCCAACTTATTAACTGCACAAATGTTAACAGAGCAAGACTCAAATACATGCATGAAGAATGTAATGCATCAAAATACCTTATAAAAGATGCCCTACAATCTACAGTAGAAAAGCCAGGTATTAATTCACAATATGAATCAATCAAACACCCAATTGTACCATTTTAATTTCTCTACCACTGCAAACAGACACTGTAATTTGAACCAGGGCATTTTGGCCATGTGGCTGCCTATTGTAAATTCTTGCCTTACTCTGAGGCCTATTTCTTTGATTTTCTTTAAAAAACTGCAAGCAAAGTTTTCTGCTAGCACTGAATAAAAGTCCAATCACCTTTGCTAAAATGTCTTTGCTAATAGCACCAATTCCCTGCCTTCGGTTGAAAGTTAAGCATCATATACAATTCAAAAGTCCAGCACAATACTTAGGTTAATAAAGTAGATCAAAAGGGGAAGGTATGAATGTTTGTACGATTAATTGTAAATATTTTTCCTCTGTTACTTCTGGCATTTGGTTAACTTGTAACAGGCTGATAAGACTTCAAGATTTAAAAAAAAAAAAAAAACAAAACCAAAAAAACCCAAAAAACCAAAACAGAAGCAAATTTACCAATTCTGGTAAAACTGCTGGATCCTGCCCACGGTATTGCTGATTTGACCAAATGGCTGGTGACAAGGCTACCTTGTACTGCAATGATAATTAGCATCACCCATACGTGCTCACGCATGGCTAGCAGCAAAAAGTTGCCACTGGTATACTTGAGTCCCGCAAACAAAAGCCCTTACTGAAGACCTGAATTCATTCTAGAGAAATATATTCAGCCTCTCCCTTGGTTCTCCCCTCCCCACCCACTTCACTGTTAAGGTAATCTTCTTTCAGAGGTTAAAGAGATTAACAACAGAGATTCAATCAGCACTTCAAAGAGAAAGATATTCAGAAATAAGCAGACAAAAATTTAAAAGCTCTACTTTTGTAACTGCATACCCACAAAATAAATTAAGGAAGGAAACTCCTTAGCTTTTAAAAGTCAAAAACATAGGTGGAACTATAAAAGACTGTGTACGCACTTATGAGAAGGAATTACAGGAATGGAGGGAGAAGATGACATAAACAAAAACTGAGTAGTAGGGAAGAGAAAAATGATTGCCCACACTACGGGGGGGAAAACCCCCCGATGACTTATTACTCTTTAGTCTTGTAATAAATTACTGGATAGAGAAAAAAAAATCCCTAAGCAGCTGGTATGCAATGTTGGCTTTGATTATTCTGATACTGTATTTGTTATTAAAAATTAATGTGACTGAAACAACTTACAACTATTTTCATCACCCTTTGTCTGAACAGCAACAAAATATTAAGGAATGCATTTCTGTCATAAAATTCATGGCTCGCTTTCTGAAGCACTGAACTCTTTTTAGAAAGAGATAGAGATGAGAAGTTCCTGTTTGCTCTGTAGAAGTCCATCTATTCAAAGAAATGCTGGCCCAAGGAATGTTATTCACAAACCACTAATCCAATCCTATTAGTTAAATCATTATTTTCGATCAGACTGGTGTCTGAAACAAACTACTCTAGTATCTTCAGCAGCTTGTTCTTTCTTTGAAACAAATACCCTCCTGTTGGTTCTCATCAGCATGCCCACGCATTTGCTGGGTGAGTTAGGAGTCAGGTCTATCAGGAAACCATGTTCAGAAAGGTATGGACTAAAAGCACAGATACCACATTCTGCTTTCTAGATAAAAGCACTCCTACGACTAGGATGTTTTCAAGAAGAAACAGAGCTAAAATGATTGCTGGAAGGACAGCTGAAGGTTAGCAGGATGCCCACAAAAATCAATAGAAGAATGAGAGTACTCCAGGAAGCAGTCATCAAATGAGATTTTTAGTGACATCTAATTTGACTTGGTCTTTTTGGAGAAGTCATTTAAAGGGCAGAAGTTCATTGTGGTTTAATACTCTACAAACACCACAGACAATGACTGAGGACCCTTAATAACCCCTCTGCCAAACAACAGAGCTCCAAGAAAGTCAATGCTGCCCTCTTATCTTTCCAACTCTATTTTATAGCAGAGTGCCAGATCACGAGGAAAGCTTTGTTCAACAACAGTTGAAAAGTGTGGCCAGTAAAGTCTTCATGTTTGGTTTTTTTTTTCTGCTTTCCTTTCAGAAGGGTGATGTACCAGTCCAAGAAAAATGAGTTTTTCCTCAAGAGCCATCATATCCTAGGATAATGGCAAACAGTTCCCTCAGGGTGTCTGCAGCCTCCTCCGTCCACGCCGGAGAGGTGGGTTTCACAAGAGAACCACTCGTTCATCCAATGCATCTTTGCTCTTTCCAGCTGATAGATACAGAAGTTATCTACTCATTAGTTCCTTGGGACACAAGGTTCTCAGGAATGCTTCAAGAAAGGTCTCCTACTGGCGTGAAGGAAGATGCTAGAGCTTTCTTTGAAAGAGGTGATTTTAATACAGGTGGATAAACTGACAATCTGTTAGAGCTAGCTGCCTCAGAGCGAAGCAGTCTGCAGATGCCTTTAAACTCCATGCTTGTTTTTCCTCCCATACTCTACCCATCAGCATCAAGATTTTGAGGGCCAGAGATTAGCCTCTGAAACACTGAAGACCAAAAACTGGGAGAGGCTCATGTTTGTTTCACTTGCTGTCACCAATTTGATAACAAAAACCAAGAAAAAATGGGGAGTTTCCACTTGAGGCCAACTGAAGGTATTCTTCTCATCTCTCACCTCTGTTATGATTCAGCACTTCCCCAAATAGCTTCTGGAGACTTCATCACAATGTAAGGCTGTGAACAACAGCTGCACAGAGCCATTCCAACACAGAATCATAGAATCGCTTAGTTTGGAAAAGACCTTTAAGATCATCAAGTCCAACTGTTAACCTAACCCTGCCATTCCACCACTAAACCATGTCCTTAAGCACCTCGTCTACATGGCTTCTGCAAAGGGAAAGACACTCCAGGGAGTAGTTCTCTCTTCAACCTCCAGGCTAAAGTGGGTACCAAAACCATACAAGAGGAAGGGCAAAAGAAAAATCACTAAGGGGAAGGGTGGGTTGCAACATTTCTTTTTACCGTTCATTTTGATTACTGAAATTGTTCATACAGCCAAAAAAAGCACCCAAGTAATTTTTCACTATGAAGAATCAAGTTAGAAGAACAAGCAAGTCAAATCTCTTTCCAAAACGATAAAGCAAGA